ATTAGTATCACCGTGGATACTGCGGATCTGCAGATGCTCCAGTCCTTTTATAAAAGATATGTTTGTATGTAACCCAAGCATATGCTCCTGTATTCCTTGGATCATCTCCAGATTTCTTATAATACTCAATCTCCAGTACATGCTAGGCATATACTGACTTGGGAAGAAAAAATTGTGTATTTCAGTACACACAAGACACGTGTGTGTGTGTGTGTGTGTGTGTGTGTGTGTGTGTGTGTGTGTGTGTATTTTTTGAGTGCTAGGGATCAAACTCAGGACCTTAAACATTCTAAAGCAGGCCCTACCACTGAGCTGTTCTCACACCTTTTATTTTATTTTATTTTTGTCTTTTTGAGACAATCTCGTTGTGTAGTTCAGGCTGGCCATGTGCTCACTTTGTAGCCCAGGCTGGTCTCAAACTTAGTAAAGATCTTCCTGTCTCAGTCTCCCGAGTTCTGGGATTACAGGTGTGTGCCACCATGTCAGGCTCCCCACACCTCTTTTAAAGCATTTTTGGTTAGTGGTTGGTTGAATCCATGGCTGTGAAACCTATGGATACAGAGGGCTTACTGGCCCATTTCACAGTGTTTATACCAGTGAAATACATGTGTCCATGGCTTGTGATGGTGTCCTGGCAGATGAAAGCAAAAATGGGAGCTTTAATGAAATTTGAAACTCTTCTTTTAAGTGGAAGATTTAAGATTTTGGTTTTATATTGTGAATGTTCTAGTACCTTCCTAAGTACATTAGGTTGAATGCTGGGATGACCAGTAGGGTTCCCTCACTCTCACTTTGTGGGGTATACGTATTACTTCCATTTCCTCTTGCTACCTTAATCACATGTTATACTGAGATCTGTACAAAGAGGACTTGGGATGTAGCTTAATGGTAGAGTGTATGCTTAACATGCAGCAGAGCCCTGGGTTCAATCACTAGCACCAAAACAAAACAAAACAAAACAAAGATTGTACAAGTCAGGCTGATAAATGGATGCAAAGATTTTTGGTGGCTATAAAAGGCAGTAGGGTATATTGTTCCCTGCAAGTTTCCTGGGCTTTTCTAGAACAGTGTGGGCATGTAGGAACACAGTGGTCTTCCTGCGACTCTTTTGAGACTCTGATAATTTCAGCCTGTAGAACAATTTGACAGGGCTCCGTGGACTGGCATTTCTGACCCCTTACTTGCTGTTGTGGGCCAGGTCCTTTAATGCTGTCTTTGGGTACAGAAGAAAGGACAAAAAGGAGTTAAAGGAAGATTTTCCCGTATGCCTTCAGTTTAATGATATATGTAATTTGCTGTGCTGAGGCTGGCTACTTAAAAAGCACAATTCATTCACTTACATGGGAATTATTTTTCCATCTTTTTTGATAGGAGACCCTGGCCTGGCACATTGGCCCTTGCCTTTTAGCCCAGCTATTTGCGAGACTGAGGCAGAAAAATGCAAGTTTGAGGCCAGCCTGGGCAACTTGATGAGACCTTTTCTCAAAAAAAGCAAAGAAACAACAAAAGAAGAACAATCTGGGTTCCTCTGTGAAAATTTTTTTGTGATAAGTTTATTTTTTTGGAAGATAAGGATAATGCCATTTTAGAGTATAAAAATTATTCTCATCCCCTGTGCTATGTAAGGAAACTGCAAAGCTAAACTTCTCAGTTGAGATCCTATATAAGTCTGGATCCAACCAGAAGCACTGAAAGTTATTGCTATGGTTTTTCTGCTCTCCACCTTGCTTTTTGATGGTGATAGGAATTGAATTTAATGCCTTGTGCATGCTAAGCACCACTTTGTACCACTATCCACATTTAATGAGATATTTCCAAATCTCTAGGGCTCATCTGATTAGGAAATGGATATTCAAACTTTTGTTGTGATTTCTTTCCTTTTTTTTTTTTTTTTTGGTACGGGGGATCAAATTCAGGGCCTCCTGTTTGCCTGGCAGGCACTTATGCTGCTGAGCTAAATCCCTGGCCCTTGTAGTTTCTAAAAGTTTCTGTCCTGGTAAATCTTTTTTTAAATTTATTTTTACTTTTTTTTTTTTTTTTTTCTTTTTCTCTTTTTTTATTGGTACCAGGGATCGAACTCACTACCGCCTGCTTGCAAGGCAGGTGCTCATGCCGCTGAGCAAAATCCCCAGCCCTATGTCCTGGTAAATCTTGTGTTTAGTGTGTAATAGAATAAATACATTGAGTGGAATAATAGATTCTGGTTCCAGTTTTTCTTTTATCAAGTCACTGGACTCTTCATGCTGTATTCCGCAGATGAAAATGAACGGATTTGATATGTTATATCTGAGGTTCTCCTTATAAAAGTTTAGTCATTCCAGGCTTTATTGTCACTTTTCTAAAGCTGATTAAAAGAGTAAAAGATCTTTGTTTATATTACTGTTCCTATAAAAATAGAATTCATTTCAATATAAGTGAGCTAGACTTGGATTCCAAAGGGGCTTAGTCAGTAGATGACTAAAACAACCTTTATATAAGATGGTCTCATGTAGAAACCAGAGTACAGTTTTTTCCTGACAACTCTGAACTAAAATCCAGGATCTCATTTTGAGATTAATATAAGAAATCTGCCATTAGCTTGTATCTTATTTCTGTTCACATATTTTTAAAATGTAACTCATCACCATGTAGGAGGCCAACTTTTTCTATTATAGCTTCCATTGAAATATTTTGCTTTAGTCATTCTCTCCTGAGTTCCTTTTCCTGAGAATAAAAGATTGAGCTCATACCTTTGCACAAGATCTGGAGATATTTTAAGCTTGGCATGTTCAAACCTGGCAGACTTGATTAATATGTGGACAGACCAGCACATTAGAACATTTTTAAAGTTCCAAGCCACAAATTGTGTTTTAAATGAAAATGTATGCAAATAATACTTGAGCCTGGTGTAGTTCAGATATCCAGAGTGCCTCTTTCCCCGGGTGACTGATTTTCAGCGGGGCTCCTGCTGGCCCTGCACATTTCTTCCTCTGCTTTGAGCAGTGCCAAGAGCAGTGCCAGGACGGGGTTTGCTCTTTTGGCGCTCTGTTACCTTCTGTTTTCAGCAGGAAATACGGCTGCTGTTTTACTTCTTAAACTTCTACCATATGGAAAGTTTCTGAAAATAAACTTTGGGTTTGTTACTCGATTTCTAAATTTGTAACCTCCACTATCTGTGACCAAAGTCAATATAAATACCTTTCAATAGAATGTATACAAAGCTGTGGCCCTATTTTAATGAGAAAGGTCTCCAGCCACAAGTTATCTTTAAATTTGTCTTTAAGTTTAACTTATCAGTTAAATTAATCCTTAGTTTATGTTTTAGTTGGCATTAATGAAATGTTTTATTGTCAAACAAAAACTAGTCACTAGGTGATTTTTAGAGAATCCACTAACACATTTTGTGTATGAATCATTGATGTAATTGTGTAGTAGACATTCATAAAAACATGGAAGTACATTGGATTTTCTTTTTTCTTTCTTTTTTTTTTTTTTTTTTTTTTGGTACTGGCAATTGAACGTAGGGCCTTGTGCTTGCCAGGCAGATGCTACATCCAGCCCATACATTAGATTTTGACAAACTGAAATTGTTTAAGTATATTGAAAGGGGAAAGAATTCTAGTGTTATTCCTTGTGTGAATTGGGGTCAGTTGAGCTTTTAGTCAATAAATATGTAAAGAGCACCTTTATGTGCCAGGTACTGCTAGGTCTTAAGTGCTAAAAAGTTGTGTAAAAGATGATTCTTGTTCAGACAAGTAAGAGAAAAAAAGGGAAGGAACTAAGAACAATAAATGACTTTAATTGCTTTTAATAAAAACATGGATAAATGCTATGGGAATATGGAGAGACAAGTAGATGAACTCTGGGGAATTGGGAAAGACCAAAAAAATATTTCATTTGGACCCGAAATTAAAAAAAAAAAAAATTGCACAATGACTCTGTTTTATGGAGCATTCGTTGTATCCCAGGGGTAGTGTTACCCATCAGGAGAAAGAGGAAGAACATTCCAGGAAGTGGGAGAAACAGTAGATCAGTCAAGAATTATGTGTCCAGAAGGGCTTGATGTGCTTTGTGGGGATGAGGAGGGAGACCTTTGGCCAGAGAAAGTCTGGTTAGATGGACTGGATTTGATACGAAGGCAGGCTCTCCTGACTACCAACCCCAGTCTCAACAATTTAAAGGTCCAGCTTTAGGGCATCGCTTGTGAAATCTTTTTTCTTTCTCAAATCTTACTGATTTTTTTTTTTAAATTGCATGATAGCCAGAAGACTGTACTTTCTTAACAGGGCAACCACTCCCTAGTCTGCCCAGCCTTTTTTTAAAATTTTGGGGTGAGGTCTCATTAAATTGCTAAATTGTCCATTGTGGGCTCAAATTTGAGATCTTTCTGCTTCAGCCTTCCAGAATGCTGGGATTAGTGTGTGTGTCAGGGTTATAGATGTGTGGCACCACACCCACCTGGCATTCTGTTTCTGATCTGCCCAGTTCTTAGCTCCATAAGAGCTCCATAAGGGCAGAATGAATCCTTTTTAAGAGTATGGTATAGTGCTGGGCACGCTGTGGGGACTCAAGAAATACATAGTGAGTAAATAAATAAATAAATATAGAGCATTTATAGATACAAATCTTTGAGATATCTCAACTGTAAAAGTTGAGATTGTCTACATTTATGTAAAAGGCCTTAATATCAATAAGAACAATTTTCAGATGTGTCTAGATGAGGTGTCATTTGGAGGTAAAATGAGTTATTAAGAGTACCTATTTCATTGAGTTACTGTGAGGATTAGTAATTTTAGTAATACATTTAGAATAGTACCTAAGCATATGGTAAGTGTTCGATTAGTGTGACCTATTTAATTCCACTTGTGTGACCTTTTTGCTAGTGACAGAGCTCAACCACTGTTGTGGAGAGGGGAGAAGGGAGATTAAACATAGTCTCTTACTTTGAAACCAAATACCCTTTCGGAATTGAAAGAACTGTTTAAAATGCGTGAATTTTTATTTTTCTGTTTGTGTTTTAGTGATCGAAGGGTATGATTGGCATGGAATTGAATTTCATCTGTGTGTGGGAATTGTAAGCAAGGTAGGTCCTGTGTTTATTTACTCTTCTCCTGCCATCCTTCTCACTTGTGTGTTACTATTTTTAGTTACACTTAACAGGAATAGATCACATTTGAGTGTTTTTTAGTGAAAATAGTGTCATTTTCAGTCACCTTCCTCATGGCCCAGTGATGGTTTGTCACTATGGTTTATGTAATTTGTGGATCGCATGTAAGATCTTGTTAGATTGTATTAAATGCTGAAAAGCAGCACAACCACTTTAAAAGTTTGGTGGTCATAGAACAGAACCATGAATATACATAGACACATATAAACTAATCTTTCTGATCTAATCGTTGGGGCAGATGTTTTTATTAGAGCCATTATGTAAACCAGTATGAGGTAGTGGGTATTGACAGCCTAGTTCATTCTGGTCACTTTTCAGATTCAGTAGCCAAACCATCACTGGCAACTATAAATTTTGCTATTAATGGCAGATCTGTCTATCTATAACCACTAGAGTTTGATGTGACCCACAGCATGGATCTGTTCCAATCTTAAGCTCCAAGCCCTGAACAAAAGTATACTACATAGGACTGTGACTCTCATTTGTCTTACATGTCAGACACCCAGCTATAGATGGTAGCCTAACACAACTCTTTTGATCTATTTCTCTGTCTAAACATTGCCCATGAAGGTTGGAGCTACTGGTTGTTCATGTAGTTGTAGCGTTTTGTCCCGTTAAGTATTTCGAGACCACTTTGTTCATTGCCGTAAGAGATTTGGACCACAGAGTGAACCTGATAGCCAAAACAACAGTACTCCTCAATACCCTCTAGCTGGTAGGTAATCCTGTGACCTTGCACATGAGGTTCTAGGAATTAATGTGTTTTGGGGCTCCTGTTGCACTTACACTTGTTTTAGATTGGCTTTTTTTTCCCCCCAGTCACAAAGAATAGTAACTTTTATATTGCTACAAGGAAGAACAGTTGAGCCATTTCTTATAGCAGGAAGAGAATGGCTTTGGAATTGAAACTGCTTCCTGGGAAGGGAAGAGGAAATGCTGTCTTTTGTAGATGAATCCCTTCATCTTACTTGATCTGATCTGAGTAATCCGTCAGGAAATAATTTTCTTTCTTTTTTTTTTTTTTAACCTCAACTTGTGAGAATGGAAGGAAATAATTTTCTAATCTATCTTTATATTGGGATGCTAATAAATAGGACTACTCCAGGGAAATTAATTGTGAGAATTAATGGAAAGGAAAGAAAGATACTAATATTCATTGAGTCTTTACTAAGGATTAGGCATGGCATTATGAACTTTCATGTATTTTTTTTTTGTTGAAAAATATCAGATTCATTGATACACAGTTTTTTTTTTTTATATACAGTATTTCAGGTCTAGGGGAATGGTAATTGTGAAGATCATTATCTTGAAATGTTTTAACCCTTAGGTAGGCATGCAGAGGAAATAGAATTATGTATCTTACTTGTTATTTCATTTGTATCTTGACAACATTGTTTTATGAAAAAGGAAAGAAAATATCTGCATGAGTTAGGATTTTTGTTTTTATCTTTTGAGCTTGCTCCTGATTTAGCCAAAGGCAGGGAGGAGACCAGCAGGTCTGAAATTAGAGACACCTATGGTTTTTGGGAAGTTGAGACTCTTGACCTGGGATTTACTGAAGTTGGTGCAGAGGAGGTCAGGGTAGGTTAATATATTTTCAGAGCTCAAAGCATATGTGAATTGGGTTGTTTATAGGTGTTGTTGATTTCTGTTTGTATCTCTTGGTGGAGTAAAATATAATATTACTGTTTTGAGAAACTTCTGCAGAAGTCCCCAAACCAATGCAAATTAGTCTCCAAAAACACTAGTCTCCCCCTTCAGAAAAAAACCCAAAAATTCCAGTTAGCTGTTTTAGTTGGTTGAAGGAATTGTTATTATGATATTTGCAAAAGATTACCACACTTTCTTTTAAAATAATTATAAATTTGATTTTCTGCTCTTAAATTGTCTCCTTACATTCTCTCATGGGAGTTAGCATCTCTACGTTCTTTGGTGTTAGGCATTAATTTGGGGATCAGAATAGTTAATTCTTTCCTAGGCAATATGAAGTTGAGTTGGAATGTTCCTTCTCTATTCTACAGTTAAGAGTTTTCATATCTATTGTGTTCCTACTCTTAAAATAGTGAGTTTTTACTGTGGTCTCTGGAAAGTCTGTAGAGAATTAACCAGAGACATAGAACTATCCTTTCAAGAGGCAGCCTGGCTATACAGTGAATTCATGGCTAGCCAACTACATAGAGACCATCTAAAATGGGCAAATAAAAAAGTTTGTCCTGATTCTGTGAATCAAACTCAGGGCCTTGCACTTGCTAGACAAGAGCTCTCTACCACTGTGTTACATGTCCACCCCTAATATTTTTTTTATCTATGAAAATTGTCATTATTTTTCTGTCTAGTGAATAAATCAGTGTGCCTTTTCCTCTTGACTACTTCCCTTTTATGGCTTAGTAAAAACAACGACAACAACAACAACAAAAAACCCCTAATTTTGTTTCTTGTTTTGGCAAACAAATACCACTTTTTTAAAAAATCAGGTTTATTGAGAGATAATTTACATGCTACAAATTTACTTGTTTGAAGTGTACAGTCAGAATTAATTACCTCAGTTGAACAGTGAATTTCTGTTAAACATCCCTTTAAAACATTTTTTAACTTCATTTGGAATTATCCACAAATTTTATTAACTTTTTTGGGTGGGGCCTGAAACCAGTTCTCACTATATAGTCCAGGCTGGCTTTGAACTCACTAGGGAAGGTTGGTTTAAACCCAGGATGATCTTCCTGTCTCAGCCTGCTTTATGCTGGAATTCCAGGTATTGTGCACCACTCCCAGCTAATTTCATTAATTTCTGCATTAAATTTATCTCTTTCCTTCTGCTATTTTCTACCTACTTATTGTGTGTCTTCCCCCTATTTGTATTTGTTGTCATTGTTGATACAGTGTCTCACTTTGTCGTTCAGGCTGGCCTAGACTCACTGTGTGGTTTAGGCTGGCCTCAAAATCACAGTGATCCTCCTATCTCAGCCTCGAAAGTCCTGGGATTACGGGTGTGCGACAGGATGCCCGCCAGTTAATAGTGTTTTCAAATTGAGTTTTGTGGAAGATGAAATGTAAAAAAGGGAGTTCAAAGTTCATTTAATTTGAGCTTCTTTGTAATGTGAATTTTTAAGTGCAGGGTTTAAATGTGCTCAAGAACCTTGGGATATAAATCTAGTTTTCTTTGGGTTATAAAGAATTTTTGCTGATTACCTTTCATAGTTGTACTTTAGTGGAGTGTTAACATTATTCATGGTTTTCATACAAATGCTTTCCTGTTTTTAAGATCTATTCATCATCAAAATCTGTCATCTTATTTGTGATTTGCAACAATACAGATTTTAGAGAGGTGTCTGGAGTTATCTGGATTTGACTTTTGGTTCAGTAGTTAACTTTTAAACCTCACTATTTTCTGTGTAATTGGAGAGTAATGATTCCTAATAAGTATACTACAGGAATCAAACAAGCATTTAACATGGTTTATGATCACAAGTATTAAGTAAGGGTTACCTATTTTTTTCTCAGTCTAATACTCAATGACTTTTCCTTTAAGTCTGTGCACTGAATGTATGGATACACATGAAAAGTATACCTATGGACTTTGTGCAAGAAGGTAACCTTGGGCATGTCTTCTGTAATTAGTACTTCTCTGTTCCCTCCTTTTTATCTGACATTTGAGATAAATTCAGATTCACTTTTAATTTAGGATACAGTATATATATGTTAACCATTGTTTCCCTAAAATGTCTATGTTTGCTTTGTACCACTTTGGTAATAACACCTAGTGACTACCTACTACTACAAAAAATGATAAATATTTCTACTTCAGATTGTGTGATCTTGTTGGGTATCTTGGAAATGCATCAAGACACGGATAGTTGCCTTATGTCTCTCCCTGCACCAGAGTCCACAATTCATTATGTGGCCGTTAGTTATCTAAGGAGAATATCAGTCAGTTTTTTAGTGGTTCTCAATGGGAAATGTACCTCTCTCCAGAGGGTGTTTGGGAAAGTATTAGAGACACAGTGCTTTTGGTTGTTGAATGATTGTGGGTGGGAGATATACTATTGGCATTTGGGGACTAGGGAGCAGGGACTGCAGTGCAAAACATAAGGTTGCCTACTTAAAACACTAGTGGAGTCACTGTTGAGAAATTGCACCAAAGACTTGGTGTGTTAATAATGTTTTCTTTTCTTTTCTTTTCTTTTTTTTGAAGAGAATAAAACCAAATGAAACAAAATAGAATAGAGTCAATCAAAACAAAATGATGAACATGGTACATGACTTTAAAACAAAATACAAGGGAATCAATAATGACTACCATAATGCCTTTTGTTACCTTCAAAAGAATTGCCCATGCTAGATAGCGTTTTGTTTTATCCTCATTATTAAGAAAGTTACTGCTTAAAGTAAGTTTTTGGACAAAATCTTTCAGAGCTATAGTGTATCATCTTGGAATTCTTCAATGAGAATTAGGCCAGACTTTCTCATTTGAGAAGAGTGAAATATTTTTGTTGAGGATTTTGAAGACGTTTGCCCAGTATAAATGTATTTCAGTGGTATTTATTCCTTAAAAGTAGGAATAATTGGGGCTGGGGATTTAGCTCAGCGGCATAAGTGCCTGCCTTGCAAGCAGACAGTCATGAGTTTGATCCCTGGTACCGATTAAAAAAAAAAAAGTAGGAATAATTGAATGGTTAGAATAGTGTAGTGGCTTAAGAAAATTGGGACTGTGTCCCTTTAGTAATCTGTATATATTCATGGTTGATAGAAATAACATTTGTGCCTGGCATTCCAGTGATGCCTGCATATTGCTTTCCCTCCCTCCTTCTTTCCTTTTACCTGCAATTAGGTAGATAAATAAGAATTGAACTTGAGCCTAACTAACAGTGTAGGACTTTGATGCAGAATTTAGGAAGATAATTATTCTCAACTTCCTTTTGCCTTTATCTATGGTAATGCTTCTCAACCATTTCTGACTGTGACTCATACTTTGAGATACATTTTATATTAGGATCTGATATTCCATAAATATATATCTACCTGAAACAGAAGATTTGAAATAATGCCTTTACATGGTTAGTATAGTCTGATAATTTCTATTTTTTCCATTTTATTTAATTACAAAATAAATAAACGATGTTGGCTTGCTAAATTGACTATGGGACCAGTGTATTATGAGGTCATTTTAAAAAAATACTGTTTCAGGATGTATGTTCATGAGGTTCGAAGTTACGCTTTATAGACCTGAAGAAGCCAGGTGTGATAGAGCATGCCTGTAATCCCAGCACTTGAGAGGCAGGAGGATTGCTATGAGGCCAGCCTGGACTACATAGGAGAACTCTGTCTCAAAGAAGGGAAAGTGGAAGGGGAAGAGAGAGGGGAGGAAGGAAGGAAGGAAGAGAGAAAAGAAGAAAGGCAGGCAGGGAGACAATATGGAGGTATAGATAGGCTGAGTCGGGAGTTAGGAACCTGAGCTTTCCTCCTAGGTTTGCCACTAATTTATTTGATGACCATGGCAAACTGTATGACCTTTCTGATGTTTAGTTTTTTCATCTGAAACAGTTGGATACTTTAGATTTCTTTAGGCTGTAACGATAATTCTATCCTCATTTGACAGGTGAAAGTGTCTGCCTCTCTGCCATTCTAATTCTTCTGTTTCCTAAATGCTTAGAAGGAGGGAAATTTTAATCTGTGTTGTCTGGCTTATTTTGACAGAATAACTCCAGAATTGTGATTATAAAATGCTCTGGGCAAATAAAGTACTATGCAGATGACATTCCTCCTGTGGCGGTGAAAACTACATCAGCAGTCCTTCCTCTGCACTTCCATGACTTGCTGTGTGGGTCACAGTTGTGTGCGCCACCTGAACAGACTTGAACTCCGCTTTACTGTACGTTGTAAGGCCAGTTCTCTTTTATGCTTTGTGCCTTAACTAAGCTAGACCTAAAGCTGGGGAATTCATTGCTTTGAGGGTTGGAAAGCCATCTTTTTTATCCAAAGAGGTTTTGCCGAATATTTAGAACCAGGAAAGAAGAGGTTGCTGAGGTTAAGACTGTCCTGTTTGCAGCTGGCCTATATATAGGGTTACATAGAGAGCTATGATTTCATTATTATATATTCTGCTTTTTTACTACACCATTCAGGTTTTTCTCTGAAATGCTGCTAGTGAACTGTTCTGTCGCTATTTTTGCCTTCAAATTGTTGAAACAACTGATAAACATCTGTTAAAGTCCTATGAAAATAGGCAAAACAGGCTGTGCTTTTTAAATCAGAAGAGTACAGTATTACAGTAGAGCTCTTTGGTGCTACTCAAGCTCTTTAGGATCTTTTTTAGCCTCCTTTATTACATTAGACTTTTTAAAAACCTCATTTAATAAAAGAAATAGAACATTTGCCCTAAAGTCTTATTAACAGCTTCAGTCCAGTGAGACCCTTAGCATTGCAGTACCTAACTAAGTGTCCTGTGGTCAGTTCTCCACTGCACACTTGGGTCCAGATTCCCATCGATGTTTTTTTCAAGCAGAACAATAATTTGCATACTCTGTCTATATATGACATAATGAAGTAAATTTGAGTCAAACACAACCATAATCTCAAAGGAGCTGTGATTTGCAAACAAGTGATGCCTTTCTAGGGAGTCAAAAGTTAGACTGCTTTCTGTTTTGTACAAGGATGTGTATATGCCTGTTAAGAGTGAAAGCTTTATTCTCTGACTGGATTGAAGGAAGTGACCTGGGACCTTTTTAGATTACAAATAGTAGTAAATTGATTGATTTTGTCAATCAGGAAGGTCAGACAGCTGATTATATGTTTAGGAGTGTGGTACATGTCACAGTGCTGCAGTTTGCTTAAAGTCAGGTGGTGTAGCGTAGAGTTACCATATGATCCAATGATTCAGTTCCTAGTTGCACACCCAGGGGATTTGAGAACATACTAACACAAAAATTGTAATACATGTGCTGTGTATATGTTTGCAACAGCGTTCTCCAGTATAGGTAAAAAGAAAAAGATCCTAAATGTTTATCAGCTCGTGAATGGATATATGAAGTGTGGTATAACTATTGTAGTGGAATATTATTTGAGAATTGAGAGGAATGATGTACTGACACATTATTGAACATGGATAAGGCTTGAAAGCATGCTAACTGAAAAAAGCCCCTCATAACAGACTACATATTTTTGTGGAATGTCCAGAATAGATGAATAATCCATGGAGACAGAAAGTAGATTGTGGTTGTTGGAGTTTTGAAAGGAGAATGGAGAGGGGCTACTAACAGGCAAAGGCTTTTCTTCTTCCTTCTCCTCCTTTCATGGTTACGGAAATTGAATCTAGGAAAAACTGAGCTGCATCCCCAGTCCTTTTTATTTTGAGACAGGGTCTTGCCAGGTTGCTCAGGCTCATCTCCAACTTGCGATCTTTCTGCCTCAGCCTCACAAGTAGCTGGGATTACAGGTATGTGCTACTATGCTTGGCTGAGAGGTTTCTTTTTGGATGAAGGTATGTTCTAGTGTTAGATGGATTGATGATTTCACAACTTTATTAATATATTATGAACTACTGAATTGTATACTTTGAAAAGGTAAATTTTGTGGTATGTGAAATATGCAGTATATCCCAATGAAGCTGTAATTTAAAAAGTAGGACCTCAACTAGGTGCGGTGCTGCATGCCTGTAATCCCAGCACTGAAGAGGTTGACATAGGATGATTGAGTTTGAGTTAGGCCTAGACAACGTAGTGACACCCCATGTTTACAAGCAAGCAAGCTAACAAACAAACAAATAATTAGGGATGTAGCTCAGTGGTAGTATCAGAGTTTGATTCCCAATACCAGGGTAAAAAAAAGAAAGGCAAAATTATCTGTATGGATAAGATACATACCTTTTTGCTAATTAGAGCTTTATGAAGTTCTGATACAAAGGTCACCTTTACTAAAGATATCTGATAGCATCATTTTCCTAAAGGCTTATGCCAGCTTGAAAATCATAACTGTAAAGAAAGGTTTTCTGTTCTGTTGGAAGATTGAGATTTATGACATCTATGAATGACACAAGAAAGGAATAAATTGCATATTTTGTGTGTGTAATGATCTAGAGCTCAAAATCACAAAAGAAAAAGCCCAAACTATATGTAAAAAAGTATAAAGTTGGCTCATTCTTTAATAATATATTATTTTATATACTAAATTATTACTGTTTTTGACATACTAACTTATTAACAAGACTGTAGAACTTCCAGGAGAACATGGCAGACAGATAGCAGCAGCTACGGAGGCTCTCTGAAACACCCGGCTTAGAATTCAGGAATGGTGCTGAGTAAGGAATCATAAGCAAGAGGAGATATGCCCCAGTGACCCAAGAACGAACTGGGCTGAGAGAAACCAACTGGGAATGCAATCCTGGTGCTATAACAGGAACAGATAAAGCCTCAGCTCCAATGGAGCCAGCGCCATTGGAAGCTGCGATTTGGGTTTCCCGCTGCCGCGGCTGCGTCTGCATCAGCTCAGCAGGGAGAGAGACGCGCGGAAGCTCTGAGAATGGGAATCAGTGAACGGAGTTGAGAGCGGGACAGGTGAGGAGCCGTGCATCCACCTCCGGTGAGTGAGGGAAAACTGGGTCTCTTCCACGGTCTAGGAGACTCCAACAGAGGACATTCTGGGACCGGGCAGACTTGCAGGAACAGGGCGCTGCAGTGACTTCAGTCACCAATCCCCCTCTCAAGCGGGATTGGTGAGCAGTGCCTAGCCTACGTGACACTGCTGGCTGAGACCCAGTAGGCTAGCACAGCCCAGGTCCCAGCTCCTGAAGGTGACCTGGAGGGGCAGGCCTTGCATAGGCTGCCTGGTCTGCAACTTCCTGGTGTGCTGCAGTGGGCGGGAACACCTAGCCAGCACAATTCAATCAGACTGTGACTGACAGGGAAGGAAGCTGGGCCTCCTATATACGCTTGCATATATAAGGAACAAAGAATATGGGAAGAGACAGCAACAAAAAAGGGTCCTCGGCCCCCAATCCTGAGAAAGAGGCAACAGCAGACACAGCACCAACAGACATAAAGCGCTATCTCGAAAGCCTCATAGTTCAGGAATGAAGTTATTAATGACCTGAAGCTAGACATAAGCAGAATAGTTAGAGAAATGCTAAGCACAAAACAGATGGTGGAATGGAAGAACAGAAAAAGAGGGGAGAATTGTTTAATGGAGAAAATAGAGAAAGCATAGAATACGTGAAGCAGGTTCAAAGAGAATACCAGGAAACTAAAAAGTCTATCGAAAACTGGCATAACAGCTTGAAAGAAACTAAGGACAGATTATCTGAACTGGAGGGCAGATTTGTAATATGGGAGCATGAAATGAAAAACTTCTTAAAAATAACAAAGAAACAAACAGCAATAATACCAAGACTAGAAGATGATAAGAGGGTCTATAACTTAAGAATTAAGAACATAAAAGAAGAAGTAGGGACACAAACAAATGAACTATAAAAGCTACTCACAGAAATAATCCAGGAGAATTTTCCTAATTTAGCAAAAGGTAAAGATACTCAGTTGTATGAAGCATACAGGACCCCAGCCACCTACAACCCAAACAGAGCAACACCCAGGCATATGATAATTAAAATTCCAGAAATCCAATACAAAAACAGAATACTAAAAGCCGTCAAAGACAAGAAACAGATCACTTACAAGGGAACACCCATCAGAATTACAGCAGACTTCTCGGCACAAACCATCAAATCACGAAGAGCGTGGGGGGAAATAATTCAAGCTTTGAAAGATAATAATCTCCAGCCAAGATTGATATATCCTGCACAACTATCCCTGGAAATTGATGGAAAAACAAGGTGCTTCCAGGATAAAGAGGAACTAGGGGAATATGTAACCACCAATTCAGCTCTACAGAGAATACTGCAAGATATTCTGAAAAAGAAAAATATGAAGAATCCAGAAGTAGCAGCAGAGAGGCCACAATGAATGGAGCAGAAAACAAAATGAAGAAGACAAACTGACAACTAATGACAGAAAAAGAGCTCAACAGAAATGAGGCAGAGAAGATTGGATGATAGGAACAGCTATTTTGGAGAAAATGATGTCTTAATAGGTAATACTGATTTAGTATCATCTTGTTTTGAAGTCTCATCAAGCTTTTGTTCTTCTGTCTCCATTGGTCTAAACAGGTTGTATCTTATTGGATTTTATTATATATGATAGTATAAGCAAAAACTTTTATAGACAAGGAGATTATACAGAAACCATTGTTCATTTTCTGTTAGTTGATTCTAAATACCCTGTAATACTGTCATTCTCTTGAATGGTTTTACATTGTTTTGATATATTTGATGCTACAATATATGAAGTTATGCTCAAAGATTTCAAGGAAAGAGACAATATGGTAACTACTTTTATGTTGGGATAATCTTGTGGTGAAACACTATTTTGTTTAAATGGTTATGTTTTGATCTGCGCTGATTTGCTGTTATGCCCTCTTTTATCTCAATCTCCATTTTATTATTTACTTTTTTTATCCTTTTAATTAAGGGAAAAATAAATAAAAAATAGCAGGATGTATTATAGTAACCCACTTTGACTTTCCATTATCTTGATTTAAAGCCCTGTATTGCTCTCACCATCTTGTTTTGACTGATGTTCCTCTATTCTGCTTGATAGTACCAGGTTCGAAAGTTTAGGCAACAGCTGTGAAGATAATGGGATTCATTATGACGCCCATTCTGGTTGACTATTATCTACTTTTGAAGACCTATAATGTCTCCAATGTTTTGGTTTTATTGGTTTTGTTCTTTACTGTTTTGTTCAATTTTATTATAACTGATGATATAGGCAATTCTATTAGAGATAGTGGGAGGCATTATGGTAACCAGTGTTGATCACCTTG